AGAAAGCATCAACGATCCCTTTGAGACGAAGATGTAATCCAAAAATGGCTTCCATCCAACATTGCCAATTTCCTTCTCTTCTTCTTCTATCAGTTGTATTCCTGGCAGACCTTTGACAGAAATATCCCCCTCACTATTTGCTTTAGTAAGGTAGGACCCTCTAGTCTCTTCCATTCTATCCATGTATTATGACTGAATTTCACTTTTATTTTGATTAATTGTAGAATCCAAGACTGGAATTGAACTTTTGTGAGCATTCACAAGCTGTTCAAATGTTGTACAGATCATCAACAATTCTTTATAGCTTCCGGATTGAGTAATTTCTCCACCTTCTATAACCTAGGGAAAAAAAACAATTTATTCTATGTAATGAATTGAAAGCTAGTATGTAAATACAAGAGTGGCAATTCAAAGTATTTCATTACTAGAATTTTGTTAACTTGGGAGAGAAATTCCACTTGATAAGTCACTAAAATGACAGTCTTCTTCTCCAGGGTAGTCATAACACAGTCCTGCAGCTACATCATTCAAAAGTTGGTAACAATGAGAGATCAACTATGTCATACATACCACATGCCTCAAAAGAGATCAACTTTGTCTCTGTTATATTATCTTTGGGTGCATCACCCGTGCTCAATGCACCTCCCATTGTCAATTACCAAAATAAAATGAGACATGAGATAATACCTGAGGTGTATCTGCCCAATTACATAAGTTGTTAGAAATAAGTATATATAAAAACAATAGCATAGAGCAGATAATGAAGCCTGAGAAGTATTTGGAGATTCTGAGAGACAGTTTTCGAACTGATTAGCTGAAAAAACACATCCTGAATCCGACCAATAAAGAATCTTTGCTTCTTATAATTGTAATTTGCAAAGGGTACCAGACCAATAAAGAATTGACTCAAAAAGGAAAAGAAAACACAAATAAGTAGAAATCCCCTTTACATCTTATGTCCTAATTATCAGTCTATGTAGAGGAAAGAGGAAGGCAAATACACGTTACTCCACAAGACTACCTCCCTGCTCTAGAAAGGTAGAACATAGAAAATGAAACTGACTTTAAATTTATATCTGATAAGCCAATCAACTCATGTTTATTTAGAATATACACAAAATAGGTTGTTGTTCTGGTATCATGTAGTTGAATAACAAGTGTTGTGATATAATATCTAGGTTGTGGTATTATTCACCTTGAGGAGGATGAAATTGAGTAATATCTAGGCTGCAAGCGTAGGGCAACTGATGCGAAGAAAACACCAAGTGGAGGCTTGGCTGATGAGAATTCTGCCATAATCTCAAGAAGGCTTCGCTGACTTGCAACTACCCATTGTGCATATTCATCCTGTAGATAGGAAAGATAGCGTTAAAAACTATGATGGATGAACCAATTTATTATGAAAACTCTAAACCAAAAAATTGCAAACCTTTCCAGCAGGAGATGCAAGATGCCTCAATCGCTCGGCTTCACTTGGATCAGAAGCATGAGCTGCCAGGGCAAGTAATGCAGACTGGAAAACACATACATTTAACAAATTAGTTAATGAGAGTTCACATATATAATATTATGAGCAACACATAACTAAACAAACAATGGCCCTACCTTCTTCGGAAAGCTCAAAAGATCCGCATATCGAGTCAGTGCCATTCTTATGGTACATGCAGGGAAAGGAGGCAGCAATGAGCTACCACCAAGTGGAGTGCCATCCTCTTTATCGGTGTGAATGGAAAAATTTGTACTGGTGATAAATCCATTAACCTTTCAGCTTCCTTCACAATGTCAATCACATTCTCACCGTACACGCCGACATGATCCCCAGTTTCATATTTGTGGACAAAGGAATTGAAGAAAGATAAATGAACAAAGTTGATTCATCATTAAATGCATGCTTTTTCTAATCCAATTTGTTTTAAATTTAAAGAGCATAAATTTTCCATTTAAAGCTAAAGCAAAATCCAGTTGGCAATTTTCTTACCAAAAATAAATAATAGTAGTAAGTCGACAGAATTTGTCATCACCTTATTCCAAATATACATCCATAATTAAGTGAATTAGAATTGCAACTTACGCAAGTCCAGTTCCAGCAATGTCAAATTCCAGATGGGTGCAAGATCGATCAAAGGTAGTAGTATGAAGCTCCTTTTTCACAGCTACATTAGACCTTAATTCCAAGATAAAATATTTGTTGGGTTACAGAAACAAAAGCATATAATTAACTGGCAACAGAAAAATTCAGGATTTAAAACATTCTTTTGGTACCTGCATGAACAAGTATTATTTGCCTCCTGCATGTTTTTCCATTAACTGGCAACAGCATGACCATTTGACATACTCATGCTCTTGTCCAATATTGATGCATCTGTGCCGTCATGATATACCACACGATATTCTAACACAGCAGCAGTGTAACTCCCGCCTACATTAGCCAATGACCTCTTAGTGGCGGCTGTAAATTATATTGACACTCCCTCATTCATTTCAGCATAGAACAGAAAAGGTTAGATTAGTTTAGTTTTGGCTGATTATTTGGTTATCTGGATTATGAATTAGCACCCAATACATGAAACTTTCACTAGTTTTGTTCAACATCTTTGCGTCATATCACATGTGTTGTATAATAGTTCACTTCACTGATAATGAAACTATTATGCTTTTTGTTTCAATTGTGGAAACATGTCATTTAACCCTCACCCCTTATTTTTCTTGTTTCATTAATCAAGCTAGTTTATTTCTATCCTGCAGAGAAAACTTTATTCTCTTGGAGTTGAGATATCAAGTCTGTGCGATACTGTGAAAAGGAATCGCATTGAACTTGGATTGTTGAAACGAGCAAAAACTTTATCCACAATTGTTGAAGCCCATGTAAGCATACATTAATATCTTGGATAAATGCTATTATTTATTCGATTGATGAGGACATATCCTATGTTATCATTTTTGTGTTTAATTGCTAGTTAGTTCCCTGTCATCCAAACATCTCTCAAATGTGACTCTGCTGGCATAGACATATCTTGATACCAAAATTTTAGTCATGACGATAACTGAAGAAATTATTCTCAGACATATTTTTAATGAACTCTGGACCTGTGTAGCACTATAAACTTTTTTTCTTCAGCCTTCAGTTTACCATCTTCTGAAATGATTTTCAAGACAAAGACAAAAATCTTTTAAAATTATTTTACATTGCATTAATTCTAAATTGGCTATTTAACAAAAGATACGAAACTAGGCAACTTGTAGTAAAACCTCTTGGAAACTATAAAGTTAAGGAGAAAGAGGAGACCAAAGTCCACTTAAAGTTGACAAATCAAAAAGGATGTCGCCCATATATACAGAAAAAATTAGGTTAGTTTAGCCTGTATTGTTAAGTACTCCCCAAAATGTAATTACTGAAGTATAGATGTAATAGAAACAAAGAAACAATACAAACACAAGCAAATAAAAACAAACACAAGCAAGCAAGATAAATAATAGCACTATTATGATGCTACTAAGAGAACGGGAAGGAGGAACCTGGTTCTAGATCAACATTTTATTATGTAATTCCTTTTCAATCAATAAATCAATGACAAACCTGTTCCAGCCAAACCCATATTTGGCTGATGACCTTCAATACAATATTGTGAAAAAATATAACGAAAGATAGATGAGTGACAGAAAAAAAAAAAAATCAAATTTAAGTCAATACCCAAATTAACCAATAGACAGACTGCTAATCACTACTGAGTTCTCCAATTAATGTTTATCATCTAAATAAACCAAAATATATTTTGATACATAGAAATTGACATAATGGTGAATGTATCCTCATATTTAGAAGCATTATAGACAAAAGAATATAGCTCCAAAAAAGTAAGAGAAACCAAATTCAAGTAGATTCTCATCAGTATATTGAGTAAACAAATCTAAACAGAGTTGTTCAATACAAATCTAAACAAGATCAAAAACAGAACAAACATGTAAACAAATATATTAGAACTTACCTCCAATGAGAAAGTTAGGGTTTCTTTTCTCACAAGAGTTGATTTTTTCCGTCACTGCCGATCAACGAGTGGATCATTCAAGAGCCTGAAAACAAAATAAGGATGATTATTCAATTAATACATAGAGATACATATAAAAATTCATATATATGCTTGTATAGAGAGATTTTTAGGACAAAAAAAATTATCCAAAAAAAAGTACAGATAATGTGTACGCAGAGAATGAGATTGTGTGAGAGAGAACGAGATCGAGAGAGAGATTGAGAGATCGAGAGAGAGGGAGACAGAGACAGGCAGAGATCGAGAGAGAGAGAGAGAGAGAAGAATCGATGAAACTGAGATTGGATTGAAATCAAAATTGCGCAAATGGTTAGTAGACGATGCAAATGCAGATGCAAATGCAGATGGTGGTGGCGGTGGCTGTGGAGCTTCGAAATTAAAATCATTCTGAGATTGGATCGACCGAATGATGAATCACCGAGCGAAGAAGGTTGAATTGAGTTGAAGGAGCTGAAGGGTTTAGAAAGAGAGAGAGAGAGAGAGAGAGAGAGCGAGTGAGAGATTTGAGGGATCGGTTTCTCTGAGACTCTAGGGTTTCTCAGATTCAAATACGTTGGTGAGAGATTTGAGGGTTTGAAGAGAGAGAGAGACACATTTGGAGGCGCTTCTCAAACGACTTGGATTACTTAAACGGTATCGTTTTAATTAAAATAAAATGTGACGTTTATTAAACGTCGTTAAATGTTAGAAATAGTGACGTTTAAAAAAACGCCGTTAAATAAACACCGTAAAATCATATATTTCCCGAAGTGAATGGAAAAGATAGTTTGTGCCACGGTAAGCAGAAGTAGTATGGTAGCAGCCAAAAATGAAATCAATGCCCATGGACTGTTGAAGTAATTCCGCTTTAAGTTTGATTTATCACCTCTTACAAAAGTATCATATGGCACAAAACGATGAAACAAATCAAATAACATATAACATCGCTTATTCAAAGTTAACACACGCGATTAAGAAAACAATAAAGGGACTCAATTAAAGCTACCTTTGCCAAAAGAAAGAATGGAAAAGATAGTTTGTGCCACGGTAAGCAGAAGTAGTATGGTAGCAACCAAAAATGAAATCAATGCCCATGGACTGTTGAAGTAATTCCGCTTTAAGTTTGCCATCCACATGTTTCGGCGTCGCTTACAATGGTTGTTTACATCATTGAAAACTTGAGAGTAACTAAATTTTTCGGTATCTGTTAGGGTGATGTTGAACAACTTGTGCCACATGGCGTGAAGTTCTGCATCATCACCTACCCAACTTTCAATAATTTCACTATGACGAAGTAAACGAACATCCTCGAAGGAATTGATGAGGCAATTCATGAAGACGACATAGTCACAAACGTACTCTGGCTCATGATATGAAGGACACAACTCAAAGGCAACTAGATTTGTGAAGAAAGACTCACCTTCTTCTGCTGCGATGGATAGTAATGGGATTTCCAATATCCCACTAATGAACTTTATATCAAACAAGTTTCTTTCCTCAGCCTTCTTGAATTGAATCCCCGACTCTTGCAGTTCTGTTGCAGAATTTATAAACTCCAATTCCTTTTCCGTTGCATTTCTACTCATCTCAGCAAACTTAAAGCACCAACAACTATGTACTAGGTGAAGTAGATGTTTGATGTTGTTGATTGAGATTCCTCTAGGAGCTTCTAACTTCTGGTCTGGTGCGTTAAATTCTAGAAAAGTTAAGGCTATTTGAATGATTTCCAAGTCTGAATCAATTTTAGTCATGTTGAACAAACGAACAAGGATAAAGAATGGAAGTTGATTTTCAAGTAAAATTAAGTCACGCCGTAATGCAAATCTAATCTGCTCTGATTGGAAAATATGGTCACTCTTAGCTCTCAGTCGCCGCATACTTGACTTGCGAAATAACTCAATGATAATTAAACTGTCAAGAAGCATCATTTCCACAAACTCATCTGATTCGAGGGGAATGGTTTCTGCATAACAATTGCGTGCTCTTTCTTCCAATTCTTTTATGGCCATGATGTATTCATTCACACTCTTGTTTTTTTTCTCAATTGAGAAGTTGTTGCAGGTACCGTAATTTGTGCTCTTCCATCTGTTTGAGCTTAGCTTTATGACGATGGTAAGGACCAATAGCAACCATTAATGGTTCATAGGCTTTCTCATTTTGCTTCCGTAAGCCATCATACATTCTGAAGATACAACACTCAGATGATGGATGGTAAAAATTAGCAAGCTTTTTGGCAAATACTAATGGAGACATTATCTGCTCTTTCTTCCGGTTCCCTTTTGGCCATGACTTCGCTGAAACAAATTAATTGTCATGCTTTTTAATATATTATATATATATATATATATTATAAATTAACGTGACATTTGACTTTTTTTAGTTGTCACTGAATGTAGCAACTGCAGCTCATTTAAAAAAATTACGTGAAAAATCTAGAAATTCCCTAGATGTTGATTTGTGATTATGTATTAATTTTAAATAGTATATAACAATCCCAATCAAACAATCAAGATAAATCAACACAACGATTTTAACGTGGAAAAACCACAATTGGATACCTCCAACTGTGATTAAAAAATCACGGATAACAGCCACAAAACAATCCACTAAGAAGATTTAAAGGAATTACACAAGTATACTCTCAATTACCTAGCGAATCCACGCCTAATTAAACCAACCTCTATGTGCCTCTTCCAACCCGTCTTCACCTCGGAATTGTTTTTATGATGAGCCACTCCGGAATCTACCAAAGCTTCAGGCTCGAATTCTTTAGAATCTACCGAAGAACAACTCTCTCTTTTGTAGAACAAACAAAACCTTTGATGTACTCTCTTTAAACCATGAGTTGAATACTCAATAAAACATCAAAGAAAACTAACAAAATTTCCCTAGATATAAACCTTAAGAACCAAAAAGAAGATCTGGAGGAATTGTGGAGTAGTCTAATTTTTGGGAGAAAACCAACTACTTATAGAAAATCAAAAGTAATCCTAGATTTGGAAGAAAACCCAATCCTTATTGAAATCCGGAAAACTGTGTTCGTACGGTCTGCTCGAGCGCCAAACTTCCCGTTCGAGCGACTTCAGCAAAATATGCGCGTGATATAACAGAGGTCCGCTCGAGCGTTAGAGAACCCGCTCGAGCGCAAGATCACGCATCTCAGTACTTTTACAAGCGACCAAAACTGTTGGAACCAGGGATTCTCCGCTTGAGCGGGGAAGTGTCCGCTCGAGTGGACATGCAACTTGGAATGCATTTTTGCATTTTGCTTCGGGGGCGCTGCCCCTCGACCCCGTCTGGACGCTGCCCCGGACCCGCCAAGGGACGCTACCCCCTGGACCCCCGCGAGCTGACCGGGCAGCTCGATCCCTGTCATAATCAGCGAAGTGGCAGTCTTGAAAGCATTAGCATCACAAACTTCTTTGAAAAGCACAATTCGGGTTGGATTCGCATCTAAACACTCAAAGCCTCACTGAAATAAAAAAGTGCAAAAATAAATACAACTAAAAGAAGTTTTGTCAAACGGGGTTGCCAAGAATAAAACCTAA